CAATCTGTCTGTTTGTATGTCAATCTGTCTGTTTGCATGTCAATCTGTCTGTTTGTATGTCAATCTGTCTGTTTGTATGACAATCTGTCTGTTTGTATGTCAATCTGTCTGTTTGCATGTCAATCTGTCTGTTTGTATGTCAATCTGTCTGTTTGTATGNATGTCAATCTGTCTGTTTGTATGTCAATCTGTCTGTTTGTATGACAATCTGTCTGTTTGTATGACAATCTCTTTGTATGACAATCTGTTTGTATGTATGACAATCTGTATGACTGTATTTCAATCTGTCTGTTTGTATGTCAATCTGTCTGTTTGTATGACAATCTCTTTGTATGACAATCTGTTTGTATGACAATCTGTCTGTTTGTATGAAAATCTGTCTGTTTGTATGAAAATCTGTCTGTTTGTATGTCAATCTGTATGTTTGTATGTCAATCTGTCTGTTTGTATGACAATATGCCTATTTGTTTGCCTATTTGTCTATCTGTTTTTCTTTGCCTGTCTGTCTGATTTTCCGTCTCAGTTTTTTTTTTCATTTGCTGGCCTTGCTAACTTTTTGTCTGTCCATGTTTGTCTGTCTGTCCGTGTGTCTGTGCAGTTCTCGAAGGTCTTATTATAACAAACACCATTATGAGACAAGTGAGTAAAAGATTATCAACAATTACTTTATTTCATTTAAACTAAATATAAATAATATAAATATCTATATTTTGCCAAATATTTACTTTACATTTATCAGAGCTCTCAAAAATATCAGATTTAACCACATTATTTAAAAATAGATACAACAGTTAAAATAAAAAGCGCATATTTACAAAGCTAAAGGCTGGAATTAACACGGGTGCTACTGTCGCTTCAATCTTGTTTCGTCCCTAGAGCTGTCGTTTCTTGCTGTCGTAGGCACGCTTGAAAATTTATATTTCGTGAAGCATGCGCAGAAAGAAATAGCGGCTCTGGTAAGGAGATTGCTATCGCGTAGCGGAAGCGGTAAGGGTTCTCGCTTTTGACACAACCGGCGGTCATCCCAGTGGGTAGGGCTATGCATTGCTTTGCGTTTCTGATAGCTTAGGGATTTCTCGATTGTTTGTTGGGTGGGCTACCTGTAGTGCGTGATTTATGTGACCGACGCATGGCCTACGATCCTTTTTCTAGAGCATGCGAAATAAAAAAGGTCAGGGTTCTGGGATCGAGAGCAACCAAGTTGCTACTCTCCTTTATCAAACAGGAGAGTTTCGCTTGAGAGCAGCTACTGTGATCGAGTGCTTTCTGGAAGCCACCGAAAGCAAATCTATTTAGTGGGCTTCCTGTTGCAAGTTCAAATTTAGGCTAATTCTACTTAACTACCTACTTACAATTTTCACGAATTTTCCCCTATATTCAAATACAGTTTCTACATTTTAAATAATATTTATCTAAAAAGATCCACGTTCAAGTTCTTCTAGAACTGTTAAGTAAAGAATTCGTACCCGGAGCCCTCGTTCCTCTTGGTCAGCAAAAAGAAACGACGCCGACCAAGAAGAATGGAGCTCTTAAGTAACTTTTACAACACGTTTTGATTAATCCGCGTATCTTAAATAATATCCTAGATATCAAATACTCCAAATTTAAATTATCATGTTTTTCGCACCTTAATTGAGATAACTAGCTTGAGCACATTTTAAAATAAAACTTTTGAAAGTTAAGCTTAATTAAATACTTAAATAATGAAGGCCATTTTGAAAGGTAACCTAGCCTGTTTTCGTATGTCTGCTTAACGAAAAATTTAAATTAGAATTGTTACATAAATGTCAGCTTTATACACTCATTTTATCCTTGGCAAGTAGATCAAAGCATCTAAGGCCTAGGGCAAACGTCAAACTTTCCATGCACCGAACTTAATTACATCAAAGAATGCCGCCTCATTATCACCTGATATCCATTGTTTTTAATGAGTTCGGTGCATGGAAAGTTCAACGTTTGCCCTAGGCCTAAGTATACTGGCAACAAATTTCGGTACGTTTTTAATTCACAATTTAAATAGCCCTGTCCCGAGTGCCTTCATTCCTTTTGGTCAGCACCATACCAATTCTAGTACAACACTTGCCTTGCCAGAATTCTTCCTTTCATAGATTGTGCACTCGCTTATACTTGGGATCACACCTAGAATACGAATAATGCCCGGTAAAGTTTTTTTCTTTTTGAAACGTTCTATGTACTTCAAGCCCGGAACACCATATTCGGCGACAGAAACTTCAATCGTCATCATCAGTGTCATTGTAGTCATCGTCTTCGTCATCGTCGACGTCATGTTGTCGTCATCGTATTCTTCATAGTATTCTTCACACCACAAAGGAGGCCCACAAAGAGAAAAGCGAGAAAAGGATTCAATTTATTTCTAGTTTTTTTCTCTCAGAAAAGCATGCAGCACAAACTATGCATAACTAACATAAACATGTGGTTAAGTCAAAATTGATACTCAAAGTGATATTCTTGCTAATGACATTTTTCTAGTACAGCTGTTATTCAGCACCAGACGCACCAGACTGTTATAACTCGACGGCAAAACATAAGGAAAACGCTTCAAAGAATTTTAAACGCCATA